ATATTTCTTGCCGTAGTAAAGTCAAATTTTAAACGATGTTTTTAAAGATTTAGTTTTTATTGCACTTCGACTTTAGTGGTCACGACGAAATGTATGTAATTTCTCGGATGGACATCTATTGAAACATCTCCTCAACACATTCCTGTCTTGCGTAGCGGAAAGGCATGTAAGTGACAACTAAATTAAAAGCCATTTCTCCTGGAATGCATAGTAATGAAGGAGATGGTGGTCGTCCAGGCAGATACTTAGTTAGACATGCAAATCAACAGAAACAGAGAGAGAACTATTGAAACACACCAGACCAAGAAACTATTTTTTAAGTTACAAAATATATCGTAGTTTCTCATTCACTTGTATAAGTTCGTTATAAAGAATGTGTATTTTAAATAGAAAGTTTAGATTGCATGAATTCATTACAATAATTCACTAGAATTACAAAAATACAACACCTCGTCAACGAATAAATCTATTACTTTCACTTCTGGAGTTTGTTCACAAAAGTTATTCGGAGCAAAGCCAAAGATGAAATGTATACACTCTCTAAGCTCCTCTTCTTTTTTCTTGTTTTTTTTTAATAGAAATATTTAAAGATTTTTTACATGCGCCCACAAATTATTATAGCACCAAACTTTCTCGACTTCATTAAGTGTTCACTTGTAAATGAACTTAAATTATGGGCGTCGCCAACATCAGAATTATGGGGGGGGAGATAATATGAAGGCACATTATATGAAGAAATGTTAATTCATCTTCTTCGCCGCCCACGCCACAAATTTTAATAATTTTTATTAAATATATTTATAAGCTTTTTGACCAGTGCCCAAAAAATATTATGGACATAATTTTTTCGACTTCATTATAGTTTCGATTGTAATGAACCTTAAATTATGGGCGGTCGCGCCAACATCAATTATTGGGGGAGCGAAATAGATAAAGGCAACATTTATTTGACTAAATGCTTAATGCATTTCTTCCGCCCACGCTACAAATTTGGCTATGATCGCATCCAATGTGACGTACAACAAAAATAGCATCCCATGGCTGAAAGAGACACAAAGTAACTTGCAACGTTTTAGAGAACCGAGAAATCATTATCTACGCCGCCCGTCCCAATTTCTGATATGTCGTGACTGAAACAAAATGCTCCGATGCAAAGAGACAACGTAATAGCACAAGTTTGTAGAAAACCATGAGATTCATTTGTCTACACCGCCCCGTACCCAATCAATATTGATATCTTCAATGACTAAAAAAAATGCTCCGATGACAACGCAGAGGATCACGAGGTGACGCGGGCCTGGAACGCTGCTTCCACTGCATTTGCGTATGACATGCGGCCGAGCACGCGGCCGTGGCAGGGCGGCCCTACCGCCCCGCAAGATTGACCCACTCGTCGGAGTCGAGCGCGCGGGCGCTGGGCGGCGCTGGAGGGCCCCGCCCCTCTCAACCCTCCTCCACCGCCGCCGCCGCCAGCGACTGCCTCCAAGGGGCCGCGCCCCCGCTTTCTTCCGACGCCGCCAGCGACTGCCTCCACGAAGCGCCGCTCCTCCGCCGATCGTCCTCTTGCTCCTCCAGCGCCTTCCAGCGCTCCTCCAGCGCGCGCTCCTTGCTCGTCCAGCGCTCCTCCAGCGAGGATTCTTTGCTCCTCCACTTGTCCTCCGCGGCCGCTTCGTAGGATCGCCACCGCTCCTCCAGGGCGGACTCCTTGCTTCGCCATTGGTCCTGGAGACACGCCTCCAAGCTCCTCCATCTCTCGTCTAGCAACGACTCCTTGCTCTTCCAGCGTTCGTCCAACATCGTTTCTTTGTTTTTCCACCGGTCCTCCATTCCCTTCCCAATTCCCACCAATCGCTCTTCCAATGAGGCTGCTTTGCTCTCCAGTTTTTCCTCCACTGCCGTTTCCACGCCCTTCCACCGAACGTCTGACGCAGTGTCCTTGCTTCTCCATTTGTCTTCCGACGCGATCTCTAAGCACTTGACTCGTTCTTCTACCACAGACTCCTTACTCCTCCATTGCTCGTGCATATTCGTTTCCAGGCACCTCCATTTTGCTTCCAGAGACGATTCCAGGCTTTTCCATCTCTCTTCCATCGCGGCCTCCATACTCCTCCATCGCTGCTCTATAGCGGAATCCTTGCTTCTCCACTTGTCCTCCATGATTGCTTCTAAGTTTTTCCATCGCTCCTCCAGCAGCTGCCATCGCTCCTGCAACGCCCGTTCAACAATGCATCGGCACTTGTCCTCCATCACTTGTTCCAAATCACTACTCCATCTCCCCTCCATTGCCCGCGCGCTCTCTTCGGAAGAAGGAGCGGGACGTCTTTTGCTTTCTTCTTTCATGTGGGCGACGTTACCATTCTGCATTTTCCAACCTACAAATATGTCAGGGAATCAGTCACAGAAAATATAAGTAAAAATAATACCTGGCATTATAATATTTCATTAAATTAAAACTTGTAGTTAATTTCTCTAACTGAACCATTACAAAATAAAAATTTAAACAAAACAAAAGTTAAACTCGTCTTTTATTTTGGACAAGGCATTAGAAAAGACAATTTGTTTCCACACTTTTCTTTCATTTTCCAAAAAAGTTAATTTTGTTAGTTTATTAGCACAGCATTATTTCGCGATATCTATTAATATATCAGTGACGCTATTAGTTGCAAATTCGATTTAACTCGTGATGACATAAAACTAATTCCCAATGCTAGAGATAAGGCAAAATTTTCTATACGTTACATTAATCGTTTCGTTATACACTTCCACATTATTCAGTAACTTCGCTTTCAACTTTCTTATATTCTAACAAACAGAATAAAGAGATCAGAGTGTAAATTCGTTTTAGAGATTTCAGTGTTATATGCAAGGCCATGCAAGCCCGATCACGGTCTTGAAAAGTATGTAACAGTAAGTATATATTGAATACTTTCATTGAAAGAAGACAGTATTTTATTAGTCTACCATTGCACAAGAAAGTTTCAGCTATTTTAACTTAAGCATACTTACTAGAATTAGGATTATTAAGAGAATCTACTCCTGATTTAAACTGAAACTTAAAAATATTCTTGGCACCTGTGTTGCAACCAAATTATTGAAATGAACTCTTCTACCCCGTTCCAACACTATCATTTTTTGCAACAATTCGCAATAATTTTATAATCTTTGTAAGAAACATGAAAAACAAATAAGAAACTACGAAGAATTCGGCAGAATTGAGATTCGATCGCTCGGTTCATCGCAATTCCATGACTTTAGATGAAAAAAAACGAATTCACGTCAAAAAAGTCAACAAATTCTAGGAAGTAAATTGTTTCTAGTAAGTCACCTAAATGGTCATGCATTATAATCTACGAATCCCTCAAATAATTCAAAGCACTTGCTTTTGTGTGAAAAGGCTTGGAATCATACAGCTTTTTCCCACGACGTAAAGGGATGCAGCACAATGCATCCCATCTAGTTTGCCTTAAATATTCATTTAACGATCCTTATTTCAAGATGTTATGTTCACGATTCAATATTTACAATAATTTTAAGTTCATCATACTTTATCCCATAAAATCCGGTCTTACTGATAGTATCTGTTTTACTGGATCTGTGTAAATTTCCACCAGTACGTTATAAATATGATACACCTTCCTTACAAAATTTTCCGATAACTTCCCTGAAGTCTACCCATAAAGTATTCCTCCTCCAAAAATGTGATTTTAGAATTTAGTTATTAGCATTAAGTTTAGTATATTTAGCCAATAATATACTTGTAGAGTGTGAAATGAACTTTGTAAAAGCTGAAAATGTTTATAATAACCAAATGTTAATAATATGTTAAAACAATTGAATTACGATTGCAGCAAATGTCTTGCAATGAACTTGAATATGTCCGTTATACTCACAGAGGCTAAAATATTGGGAAGTCGGCCCGAATATCCACTTGTTCCACTCAGATCGCACTGCTGAGTGCGTCACGTGTTCCCTCTTAGCTTCTGCGGGTGACACATTCAAAAATGTTCTGAGGAATAAATATAGGAACACCGCTGTAAAAGTGGATACAAGATCGTCTACGGTTGGTCTTTCAACGAAGGTCACAGTATAAAGAATCCAGTTCAGTTATAACATTCAATTAGTACATTTGTGAGAGAGATACTGGACCTGGTTCGGACGTACCTTGGCTCAAAAAGAGACGACAAAACAGCGCGACCTTATAATTACGAGTTGAAGCATCACACTACATAGGTTCCTCTCGAAAGCGGACACAGCTCTAAAATGTCGTCTGGCGTCATCGCTGTACACAAACCATCATTCAAGTCCCAAACGGGCCGGACCATGTGTGCCTGCCTGCCAGCCGCCCGCCGTGGGCGGTCGTTCGGACAAACATGGCGTCGCGCGCGCCATCTATTGAGCGTGGAACGAACGACGAGAGCGCCGCCTCCGTATACGGACTGGATAGTTTTTGCACGTTATATCTGATCTTCGTGAAGTTTGTTTTGCGTCGGTGCCTTCTAATTAATATATAATTTAGGCTCTCGAAGAGACACCGACGGTATAAATGTTACCTTTTATTTTAAAAGTAAACAATTGGGGAGGTTCTTTACTATCTTGTATCATTCACTTTTTACTTTTCCTCCTTATACGGTCTGAATATAGAAAGAAATGGTATTGGAATCACCCCAACACGATCTCGAATTCTTTTACGCCGTAAAATTTTGAATTTAAGTACTTTTGCTCTGTAATTGAGCACACACGTCAGGATCAGGATCCATTAGCGCAGTTCCAAACATGGTTAAGATCGGTACAGGAGGTACTCGCAGGTCCAGCGGATAAGTGGGTATGGTGGGTAGCTATAATCACATGAAAAAATCCATGTGAGTAAAATATCCACACGAAATTTGGAGATAAATATTCCATAAATGCCATTTCCATAAATGAACGAAGTTTCTCGGTATTGCGTCGACTCTAAACTATAAGCGATCGACTATGTTGCAAGGTCGGCTCGACAGTATTGTGATTTTACATTTTATAGGGACATGGACGAAAAATCAATTTGCAAAATCTGTTTATTGGATTTATTTTTTAAAAAATGCAAAGCACAGCGTTGCTCTTTGCAATGCAAAAATGCACTACCGAAGTTTCATAAAATAAATGCGATATCAATTTAAACATGACAATTTTAAAAAAGGAAAGTTTTGTATTTTCCCTTCATATTCATTTTCAATGGGAGATGGAGAGGGGAGGGGGAACTCCCACACACCAAAGTCAACTACCCACACGGTGTTAACACCCATCTCCGGCCCTGGATACAAGTAATTTTGTACCCTAAAACCGTTTGGGATGAAACTTACGTTTCATGGAGTTGTAATCGATCTATTGAAAGATTTCAACATTTCTCCTTCGAGGAAACTTGTGGATGTGAGATTGTTGGGGAAGGGAAACAGTCGCCTTTCACCAAAAAACTGATAATTATGTGGCGCATCACGTTTTTTGAAGTTTAGATGAATGACAGAATTTCTTTGCCATAGTTCCCAACAATTTACATGTATTTATTTATTTATTTGTTTACGTCAAAAACAGTTAAAAACTGTGTGTGATGTGCTATAGGGAGAAGTTAATTTGAAGTTACATTTATGTCCAGAAGCAAAACAAGGCGCTGTCTCAGCATTTGCACGAGGATCGGGGCAACTGAACGAAAACCTGATCGAGATGTACAAATCTTACTAAACATAAAACATTTCGATTACATTTTCAGAATCATGTTCAAATCATGTTCAGAGTGAATAGTGAGAGTATTGTTCTAGAATTTGTAAACGTGCCTCATTTGATTAGTCTTCAAAATTTAATACCGAGCGACAATGTTTCTGAGGGTTTCAATTTTTCGTTTAGTGAATAAAACTTTCATGTCTTTTCTTCAACCACATCCCACTGATCTCTAATTTTCGGCGTCATACTTGCTGCTCGAAATTTTAAGATATGTCCCAACTTCCCAAGCCATTTTCCACCCATATGGATTCTTGTGGCTTGGGTGTTTTCTGCATGTCGTTGGGTAATTGTAGATTTTCAAATGATGCTATGAAATATTTAAAAAGAATCTGAATGAAATCTGAGGATGAAAATGTTTTGGTGCGCTGCGCGTTTCCACTAGTTACAATTAGTTCTTCAAATTAATTGGCAGGATTAATTAACACCGACTGCTAATTCTAAACAAAACTCATAAATATTCTTCGAATACTGTTGGTCGACTGAATGAAATTGTTTTAACTTTCATTTTAGACACGTTTTTCTTTTTCGACCGCTCAGGTATACTCTTCCTTCCCTGAAGTTCATAAATGCTTAGCTTTGAACGAATGTCATGTCATGTCATGTCATGGATTTTGGGTTCATTGAATTGTGCAAAAGTAAGGGAAATTTGTCCAAAGAAACTTTTCGGGGATCGAATTAAAATGAGAAGAGCACTCTATCAAAAAAAAAAAAAAGAACAGTATCATGTGATAAAGCAAATAAATTGTTATCATCCCTTGTTTGAAAACTATATTTTAAAATCAACTCTTTTCGTCTCGAGAACTTATTATATATTCGATTAAGAAGAGTATTTATCACGAACATTCACTAACATATTAAAATTACAGTTCATTTTATGTCACGTCAAACACCATGCTCGCATATGTAACCTTTCACAAGTACAATATACTTAATTAACGCCGTTTCCTTGCCATATGAAATTCTACGAACGTGAACCTGGTACCCAACGGAAATACACAGGCAGCAACGCCGTGAGCTGAAAAACATCTTTCTTCCAGAAAAAGCCCCCGCGCAGAAACAACTCAAAAGGACCAACGGCTAACCGCGCTTTTCTTTCAGTAGTATTCCTTTATCACATAGAGAGAAAACAGTAGCGCGCGCCCCGGCCCGCATTCCTTCTCTCCATTGAAATTCGCCTACCTGCGGAGGGCGGGCGACAGGGCACCTGGCGCTGGCTGGGGACAGCTGAATGGGGCAGGGAGGGTTTGACCGGGCCCCGGGCCGCCAAGGTACGTTAGGCAAGTTGCAAGACAATTTCTGACTTCCAAACGCGGCCACATCGACGGCCGCGAAACTATTACTATTAATTATTATTATTATTATCATCGCGCACGTTTTCTTGAGCCTCGGAATAACTACAACCCTCTCATTTACGAACATTAGTTGATAACGAGCGGTGTTGACAAATTCTGATGATCATAAATGTTCGCTTCAGTGTAGTAGAAACAATTTTGCAGGGAAAACTGGGCTACATGTTTAATATAATAGCCCTGTGATCAAAATTACAAAACAACCCACTCCTCTCGCGAAGTGAGGATTCAAGAAAATGCGCGTAGATAATACTTGTAGATGAC